AATTATAGGTATACATTCACATGGTTATTCTTTTTCTTTGCCATTCTTATACTTTGGTTATTCCATTTAAAATGTTATACTATACAGTTTGGGTTGCTTTGTTTACCATTCCTAGCACCTGTTGTAACACCACCTTAAGACCAATACAGTTTTTATTAATGGGAACAGGGACATTTGATGTGATGTGTATTCATGTTTAACATGAAATCTTGTGCTGCTGAGGCTGTTAACTTGATGCTGACCAGATATTTTGAATTATTCCTATAATCCTAGGCCATCTTGTTTGGGGTTTACGATAGTTGTAGTTCAATAAATGCAGAAAATGCCAGATAACTTCATCCCTTTATTGGAAGTGCTGCCTCTCCATACTTGTTCTTTTGCTTTCAAGCACAGTTGAGATATTATGCCATATATTATGTGGGCAAATGTGCTAGATCTATTTATGTTTTAGTAGCATCCATCAATCAATGTCTGATACAATGGTTATATACTCCAATTTAAAAACTAATTGCTACCATTGTAATCCAAAAGATATTTCTCTGTGTGCCTCAATAATTGAACTTCGGAGATAACCAGTGCCAATTTAGGCCTATCTAATTTAACACACACACCCAAATCCATCTTCGCAAAGCTATTAAAATTTGATTTAAAAACCAATATATCATAGTTTAAAAAATCAGGATGATACAGTCTAATTCAATATTAGAAATAAATTTACCCTCCAGGCCAAACCTAAGCATACACGCTGAAAGTTGAATTCAATGAAAGCTACTACTCACATTTACAGCCCCAAGGTATTTTCCCAATATTACATTTTATGAAGAGTTTATTCAAGATAAGTATTTAAGGATTAAGTTAATTCTGAAACTCCAAAACAAGTAAAAAAAATTACTATTTATCTGGGTTTGTTTCTTTTTGTTTTTTTGCTGATTGCTCCAATTATTTCACCCTGCACATAAATAATACACCTCCAGAAATTCAAATTGCTATGAAAATGGCAGTGGCAATGATGAGGCTTAAATGGAAGAAACGTATTTATTTATTTTATTTATTTATTTGTCTTGTATGCCGCCCACTCCCGGAGGACTCCGGGCGGCTCACAAAAGACAAAGGAAAGGGTGAAATAATTGGAGCAATCAGCAAAAAAACAAAAAGAAACAAACCCAGATAAATAGTAAT